AAAAAAGAATATTGAGAAATGGGAAAAAGCCGCACAAGCATAGTTTGGTTTAGGAGGGATTTAAGGATAGAAGACAACCCAGCTTTAGCAAATGCTGCTAAGGATGGGAAAGTACTGCCTGTTTTCATATGGTGTCCTAAAGAAGAAGGTCAGTTTTACCCTGGCCGGGTTTCACGGTGGTGGCTTAAACAATCACTTATTCATCTACAGCACTCATTAAAGTCTCTTGGGGCAGAATTGGTTTTTATCTTAGCGGATAGCACTCTTTCTGCCCTTTTAGACTGCGCTAAAGCTGTTGGGGCCACAAAAGTCGTCTATAATCATCTTTATGGTATGCTCTTTCTTTCACCACCTATTTGTCTTTAGCTTTTGTTGGTTATTACATCTTATGTGGAGCTTCGGCTTTGTAACTAGTTAACCTGTCCATTTGCGTTAGGGAATGAAAAATAAGTAATGTGGATGTCTTCTAATTTTTATGATGGATCCTGAAAGAATAATCACTTGGTATCAGTTTCTAACAGAGAATTCAACATTATTCTTTAAGGGAACCTAAGCAAAGAATTCTTGAGGTTTAGGCTAATTGCGAAAAGCTTGTGTCATCCTTCAAATAAATGATTTCCCAACATACTAGCCTTTTCTTAAGGGTTAATGAGGGGGAAATGTAACTTTAAAATATTATTGCTACTATCTTATTCAGTAATTTATCGATTGTTTTAGATATTAAAAGTAATTTAGGACATTCATGTTAGCCATAGCATTAAGGTTGCCAATGTATTACATTATTGCCGAATTTCTCAGTGACTCAAAACCTCTGTTTGTTAATTTCTTTGCTCGTGTCTATAGTTAAAAGCTCTTTCAGCCAGGTTATTTTGAATAGCTCTAATAGAAATTCTTTTATCTTCCTTTGCAGACCCTGTGTCACTCGTTCGGGACCACAATATTAAGCAAAAGCTGTGTGAGGTCGGCTTTAGCGTGCAGAGCTTTAATGGTGACCTTTTGTTCGAGCCATGGGAGATCTATGATGATAACGAGCAAGCTTTTACGACGTTCAATGCCTATTGGGAAAGAAGCTTGAGCCTGGAAAGAGAACCTGTTGGCCATCTCCTGCCTTGGCGTCTCATTCCAGCTGAAGGTATCTCTAATAAAATGAGAATATCAACAAGTTTTTCGATGCCAACTTGTTTGTGTTTATCTAGGACTTGTTTGCAAAATTTATGCTTTCAGAGAAGTGATTGCAGTAATAGACATAACAGCTAGACTTTGTTTGTTCCTTTGCTTTTCAAAATTATTATTTTTTTCCTAATAGTAACAGTTGGATGGGATTAATAAGGCAAAAATCCAATTTTGGTTGTCTAAGTTGGTCATTGTCCATTTTTGGTACACCAACTTTCAACTCATCAATAATAGTACGTTATGTTGCAATTTGTATCATTTTTGGGACATTACTCATAAAAAAAAGTACGTTATGTTGCAATATGTATCATTTTTAGGACATTAAACCCAAAAAATAACGAAACATTTTTGGGATAATATCCCAGTAGTGATACAAACTGCAACATAACGTACTATTTTTGATGAGTGGAAAGTTGATGTACAAAAAATGGACAATGGACAACTTAGAGGACCAAAATTGGATTTTTGCCGGATTAATAAATTGAGAGTGTTTGCCAAAATAAGCTAATTCATGAATTTTCCAAAGAGACTACTTGGTAAATTTGTACTTTTTTTCTTCTTTTTACCAATAATATGTAAGCATTTCTATTTTGTGCCTAAAACTCTTAAAAGAAGAAGAATTAGAAACAGAAGAAGCACATAATCCTTAGCTTTCAAAATCAAATTATGCAGAATCCAAAAAGTATTAACTTTCATTTATTTATTTCTCTCTCTCTCTCTGTGGAAAACTCAAAAGAAGTAGAATAANATGTTTATATAATGTCACTTAGAATCATAAATAGAGGTCGATATTTGTGTTTTTGATAGGAGAAATTAACCGTACCACAATCGAGGCATTGGGTCTGGAAAACGAGTCCGAAAAGTCGAGCAACGCCTTACTAGGAAGAGCCTGGTCCCCAGGCTGGGCCCACGCCAACAAGGCTTCCACGGAATTCATCGACCGCCATCTCCTCAACTACGCAAACGACCGTCTCAAGCTCGGATGCAACTCCACTTCCCTCCTCTCTCCATACCTCCACTTTGGCGAGCTCAGCTTCCGCAAACTCTTCCAACACGTCCGAACCAAGCAAATCATCTCGAAAAACGAGCAAAACCAGCTCGGAGAACAAAGTACGTCACTCTTCCTTAGAGCCATCGGCCTCCGAGAATACTCTCGCTACGTGTGCTTCAATTTCCCTTCCGCACACGAGAGGCCTTTGCTCGGCGGCCTCAGGTTCTTCCCTTGGGAGGCAGACGAGGTTCGGTTCAAGGCATGGAGGCAGGGTCGGACGGGGTACCCACTGGTGGATGCCGGCATGAGGGAGTTGTGGGCCACAGGGTGGATCCACAACAAGGTGAGAGTGATTGTCTCGAGTTTTTTCGTCAAGTTCTTGCGTTTGCCGTGGCAGTGGGGGATGAACTATTTTTGGGACACGCTCTTGGATGCCGACGTGGAGAGTGATATTCTTGGATGGCAGTATATCTCCGGGAGTTTGCCCGACGGGCATGAGCTTCAACGTATGGATAGTCCACAGGTATGGTATGTTTAGTTTGATTTTATTTTATCTCAAACCGTATATTATGTTTCTAAAGCATCCACAATGCTTTGGGTTCACTCAAAAAAATTTGTATGCCACTTAGGTGTTAGAATATCACTTGTGAATTGTCCCACATCGTTTATATAGGGAAAATAGGTCTAATTTATAAGTCTAATGAGATATTCCTCCTTCCACCAATATGGAACTCTACTTGGGCTTCATCTGGGCTTTTCCCTACTTATGGTGCACTTCACGTGCGTGGGACCGCACCCGTTCCCCCCCTTTTCTTACACTAGGAAATAGACCCAGTCTAGAAAAATATAGTCTCCAATGCAAGTGATAGGGGACTGGGTCCTGCTGATGTGGCAACAATAGAATTGGGGTTTATTTTGTTAATTTTGTTAATTTCATATAATTTTATCCATGCCATCCAAGATTTGGGGTTTATTTATGTGTCACATGAGCAAAACTAGACCCAATGCATTGCATTTTCATTAAATCATCTTCCTCCTCCAAAAAGCAAGGTTTTTTACAAACACTCTTTATTTCGTATAAATTTAAATTAATAATTTGATCCATACTTTGTGATCCAGATTCAGGGATTTAATTTTGACCCAGAAGGCGACTACGTCCGACAGTGGCTGCCGGAACTGGCTCGGATGCCAGCCGAGTGGATCCACCACCCGTGGGATGCTCCTCTAACTGTTCTCAAATCCTCAGGCGTCGACTTGGGCATAAACTACCCCAAACCTATAATCGACATGGATTTAGCGAGAGATAAGTTAACCGAGGCCATATCCATCGTGCGCGAAAAAGAGTCGATGGAAAATGCCGCAAACACGAATTGCACGGGTGAAGTTGTGGATGACAATGGGGACGCTAGTAACATTAATGAAGATGTTAAGGAAAAAGAACAATGCCCGGAAAGCTCGTCCCGCGACCAAAGGGTGCCGTCGGTGAGGAAATCGGAAAATGGGGTTCAAAATAGAAAAAGACCAAAGTCGGGAGATGATTTTGAGGATGAGGATAAATTGGAGGTCGGTCGGGAAATTGGGGGCAGGGTTAGGAAAGTGAATGACGATGACTTGTGCTCGACAGTTGAATCTTATTCGGCTAAGGAACAAATGACGGATGGTAGTAGTCGAATTTCATTTTGTGTTCCGGAGAATTCTTCTCTGATGTCGACGGCCGAGCTGTGTAGGGATTGTGAGTCAATCGGTGTCAAGTGCAGGTGGCAGGACGAGATTGGCGAGGATGAGATGTCGAGGGAAAATGGTAAGATGGTGCAACTGAAAAGGTCGTTTGTGATCAAATGATAAATTAATTAGTTAGTTTATCATATTTTCTTTTGCTTTGTAGTAGTTGCACACATGTTGAATCTTGAAATCAGATAAACTTGAGAATGCTTACTGGTTTCTTCTCTCGTACAATCAGGAGGGCTGAATTTGGCAAATCAGATTGGTGATGAGGACAAAAGCTCATAATTTAGTATGTCGCTGTGTAGACACAAGTGGATGAGAGTTATGGCAGTGGCATGACGTTCCTTGGTTCTCTTGTAGATAAGTTTGTTATATCTTTTGATAAACCCTTTTTTTTTTGTTTTTTTTTTTCAGTGTCATACTTGTGTTCTTCACAAGGGACATGTTTGTTTTTGGCTGTAGAAAACAATCTTACTTTGTTAAGATAAGAGTTCTGTTATTTGTTGGGTATTTTGTTTTGTTTATGCTCTATGTGAAACTCTCATGGATATAATACCCTATCTGAAACTCTCATGGACGATACAAATATATCATTAAGTTGAATATATTCGGTAAAAAGAGATATTTGAACTTATAATATATCAATTAAGTTATCTATGTATCTCTTACCTTTTGAATCAAAATACTCGTAGTTCGCTTGTCTTGCTTACCTTGATGTGTTGACATGACATGTTCAACGTTCTACTCACCATTGTCGTCAATTCCACCCGTTCTAGTAGTGGTGCTAAAATCATTTGACTCTTGATTCTTTCCTCTTCAGATGTCACCGCCGTTTGTGCTCTTCTTTTGACATTTTTCCAGTCGCTCAACAATATTTGAGCATCTAAATTTGGTGGAGTTAACCTCGATTGTAGTACGTTCAAAGTATATCCTCTCTCACTAAATGCTTGTTCAACCACCACGCTTGATGCTAGACAACCAAAATCTACTTGACAATCAAGCACATGGAATAGGTCAAGTGTCGAATTAAATTTCTTTCAAACTAAGATAATTTAATTTTATATAAAACATCTCTTTATGTTTTAATTAAAATTTTAAACTATATTATTTTAATCATAATAGTGAAACACTCCTATATTAAATGACAATGTCAACTTATATTGAATTTTTTTACTTATATCGTATATGAATATCAATATTATTTACAATTACATGAGTACAAAAATTTATATATCTTAAACAAATAGAAATAATATGTGATATGTATATGCATAAATGTAGAATATTTTTGTTGAGCATTAAATAAAAGAGATTTTTTTTTTTTCTTAATCAGATGCCTAATAGATCAATTGTCGTAACATGTCCTACTTTACAGTTTTTGAACAGTAAATGTACAAGAACATTTCTCTACAAATATTTCTCTAGGTATTTACCTAAAAATGGAAATTGCATGCAAACTTTTTTCCCTACAAATTTTTCTGTAGGCATTTACCTACAAATGTATTTTGTAGGCAAATGCCTAGAGATTTGCTACAAATTTCCAAACATTTATGTTATAAAGATTTACCTACAATTTTTTCTCAAGGTATTTACTAACACATTTATTTTGTAGGTAAATGGCTAGGGATTGCCTACAACATATATTCCCTACAAAGTTTTTTCTAAGTATTTACCTACAAATGTATTTTATAGGCAAATGCCTAGAGATTAGCTACAAAATACTAACATTTATGTTATAAAGATTTTCCTACAAATTTTTCTTCAGGTATTTACTCACAAATATATTTTGTAGGTAAATTCATAGAGATTGTCTACAGATTGTTTTTTCCATACAAATTTTTTTCTAGATGTTTACCTATAAATGTATTTTGTAGGAAAATGCCTGGAAATTAAGTAAAAATTTCCAAAATTTATGTTATAAAGATTTTCCTACAAATTTTTTCTAGGTATTGGCAGTGGTCGCCCCTAGGAAAAAATTGAGTCCCCCTAACTGTTCACCCGCTCCAATCATTGTCCTCGAAGTAATGTTCTGAATAGCACAATATTTACTAGCAACACAACCAGATTGTTCCAACAACTGAGATAAAGAGATCAAGTTTCACCGAAGACTGTCAACGAACAAAACATTATATAAAATAATACGAGAACCGAGATGAACAGTTTCAGCTTTACACGCAGTGGTGAGCGTGCCATTAGGTAACTGCACAGACCGGGACGGAATATCCCGAATATCATTAAAAAATTTTAAGAAGCTCGTCATATGATGTGAAGCACCGCTGTCATACATCCACTCATAAGGACTACGCTTACCGGACAAATGAGCATTGTTGGGGGCGGAAGTGACGAGGTGGACAATAGACTCCCATTAGGCATTAGTTAACCCAGAAATGGCCGCCCGATTGGAGTCCGTCAATGAGGATGTTGGCCCGCCATGTATGGAGCTAGAGGTACTAAGTGCAGCCCCGTTCCCGAAGGCGGCGTTGACAAGGCCGACACCGGCTGGTCCATCACTGCGTCCGCCACGACCAGCTCGTTCCCCGGCATAAGCAGCGGTTCCCCCCTAATTCACGCTGGGAACCTTAATTAATCTTCTTTTTCTGCTGTGATAAACAGCCCAAAAAATACACACACACACACACAGATATATATATATATATATATATATATATATATATATATATATATATATATATATATAGGGTGTGGTTCAAATGAGAACCAAGTCCTAGCGTGAGAACCATGAGAACCGCTATTTTTTATTGTATGTAGTGCTATGATTGATTGTATTTAGTGCTATTTTTAATCAGGATGTATTTTATTAAAAATAGTAACTTAGCATTTGTAAAAATGATAGCACCATGTAAGATTAAAAATAGCATCATACACAATTAAAAATAGCATCAAATATGGTTCTCACACCAGAAGAGGTTTTTATTTGAATCACTCCCTATATATATATATTTCCTTCTCTTTCTCTAAAGCTGCGCCTAATCCCTAAACAAATATATAACTTTTTTTTCAGTTTGAAACAAGCGCGTCTGTTGATCGAGAGCAATCGAAAGAGAGAAAAAAATGAGTCTGAATTGATCGAGACTTGAAATCTGAGAGAAAAAAAGAAAAATTTAACCGGGCTGTGATACCGTGACAAATATGTGAAAATAATTCATTCATTCAAAAACTTGCTTCACAGATATTTACAAGATCCGAATATAAAGATACAAAGGAAGCCCTAAATAATATGCACAAAATCTCTAAGATACCAAAATATATCTATACCAAAAATACAATATTCACAAAATCACTCTAACAAATGGTTTTGTACCGATTTTACGGTTCCATTTTTTATAAGTGAAAGACTTAGAAAATTCAAAAAACCGTTTTATAATGAATGATAAATTAATTATAAGTTGTATATGTCGGAAATGTAAAGTTGAATTAATGAGTTTAAGTAACTGAAATTATTGGATTTGCAAAATATTCTGTGCTTTTACGAAGGTTAAGAAAATCCAAATGAGACCTGATCATGAAGCTTGCATACTATAACTCTAGAAGGGTTCGTTGGAGACGAGTAGGAAAAAACGAAACTCGATTCCGAGTCAGTATGAGCTCATGAGAGCCCGTGGCGCACGGGCGCGCAGCTGGCCTCCGACTAACGGAAAGTCGCAACCCTTGGTGACCATAAAAGTGTCTTTTGGCCTCTAGATGCGTCCATTCTCGTTCGGGTACATCCTAAAAGTTGACTATTGGCACTTAAACCTGTTGGAGTTGTTTGCGTACATTTATAAATACCCACATATATGAAATCATTCAAAACCTGAAAAAGTTAAGAACTCTTGCATTACATTTTCAAAATTCAAAAAACATATTGTGTTCCATGATTTTTTTTCGTTGAGCCTTGGGAGTTCCAAACAGTAGTATTATTCGCCGAAAGCTTGTATATTTGAAGTATCGCTACATACAAGTCAAAAGTCATTATACTTTGGAGATGTTTGCTGTTAACCGTGGGTATTTTACGGAGTAATTTCAATTTAAGGAGAACGTAACTATTATGTGCCTCGACTTTGATTTTTTTTCATATTTTTCATTATCCTTAAGCCAACTTCTTCATATTCACAAACCACACAAACTACATATATAACAACAAATACATTAATTAACAAAAACTTCAACAACTGCATTAATTAACAAAAACTTAGTGACCTGTGAGTTAAATCAAATAAAATACAAACAACACTGTATTTGCAATTACCAGTCCTGGAATTAGAAATTTCAGAGTACTTATCAACATGTTCATTGACCAACAAAATCACAAACAACTATAATATAACAAAGAAACAAATAAGCTCACACAAGTATAGCTAGTGAACGAGAGCTTGACAAATTTATCAAGCCTCTTCAACCACATTGCTCTCTTCCACGTTCTCCTGCGACGCCTCCTCCAGCGACTTACCCTTGGCCTCCGGCACCGCAAACGTGCAAAGCATCCCGATCGCATTTATAACCCCCAACACTATTAACGAGTTCTTGATCCCTATACCCGGCGGATAACCCGCGTCCGTCTTCGTCTTATCCGTATTCTGTGCCGCGTAAAGAAACCCATAAGCCCCCACAATTGCTCCGGCCTTCCCGGCAGCTGCCGATATCCCGTGGCAAGTCGACCTCAACCGGGCCGGAAAGATCTCCGCGGGCACCACGAACGTAGTCGCGTTCGGCCCAAAGTTGGCAAAGAAGAACGTGAGCCCGTACATGACCACAAACCCGATGTGCGACTTCTCCCTCCAGTGGTTGTAAGGTACTGCTATCGCGAACATGAACACCGTCATGAAGAAGAACCCCATCAGCTGAATCGCGAATCGCCCTATTTTATCGATAAACGCCACTGTGAACCAATAGCCCGGCACAGTCCCGCAGAGCGCGATCAGTGTCTGTGCCCGCGCCACCCGATACACCTCGTGCACCGCGTTCATCGTCTTGGCCGGCGGAATCCAGCCGACACCCGTAAGCACGTCCTTCTGGAAAAGATTCTGGCTGTAGAAAGCGATGTCTAGAAGGAACCACGTGGACGTTGTCCCGAACAGGTGGAGCCCGTGTCGCCTGACAAACTCCCGGGAGAAGAGCCCGAAGTTGTTGTTGTTGGTGATTTCGTGATCAACCTCGGCCTCGAGCTCGACGTTGAGCACCTTGGACATGTCCCGGGCCGCCTGCTTCGCGTCCCTGGCGACCAGCGCCGTGTAGCGCGCGGTCTCGGGCATCTTCATGCGCCAGTAGAAGGTCAGGGCCGCGGGGAGCGCCCCGAACATGAGAATGATCCGCCAGACATAGTCGGCCTCGGGGACAAGGGACGCGGGGGCGTCGTCCTCGTAGGCAGGGGCCGGGAATTGGGAGTTGAAGGCGGCAGCCACTATCAGAGAGAGGACGCCGCTGAAGAGGATGCCGAAGCCCTGCATGGCGAAGACGGCAGCTATGAAGGCTCCGCGCGTCTTCTTGTTGGCGTACTCAGACATGATGGTGGCGGAGAGGGGGTAGTCGCCACCGATGCCGAAGCCGAGCCAGAAGCGGAAGAAGCAGAGGGTGGCCATGACGGACCTTGGGGAAGAGCCGAACGAGAGGCCGGAGGCCACCGAGGAGACGACCATGAGGATTAGGGTGATGCCGTAGACGCGCTTGCGGCCCATCTTGTCACCGAGCCAACCTGAGATGAATTCAGGAAAATCATCATCTCAATCGAATTATACAATTCTCTATTAGCCAACAATATATTATACACAAAATTAGGGTTACAGTTACTTAAAGATAACCTAAGGCTAATACAGTAAATACACAAATATACACAATATCACAACCGAAGAAGAGCTGGCCAGCGAGAGTGCCGACGAGGGCGACGCCAGTGACGGAGGACGAGACGGCAGGGGGGAGGGTGCCGGGTTTGGGGGCACCGTGCTTGGTGTAGTAGATGCGGCCGAGGAGCCTGGAGACGAGGGAGATGCTGAAGAGGTCGTAAGCGTCGGTGAAGAAGCCCATGCCGGCAATCACGATGGCCGTGAAGTGGTACAGCTGGGTCTTGGCCACGTCCAGTGCATTCAGCACCTCTAGCTGGTCCCGGGCCATGCCTGTTAATTTTGTGGTTCTAGTTTGGGCCTTTAGCTATTATTATGATGACTCACCTATTTCAGAATTAAATGAAAACAAGAATGAGAAAAGAAATGCGCTAGCTGTATTGCTTGATGCTTCCACTACTAATAATTTATATTTAAATTTATTCAAGAACCGAACAATCTTTCTCACAAGTCACAACTCACAAGCAAACTAGTTGACCAAATAATATATATAACCTTGCTCACGAGCTATCAATCATGGGGTCTATTACTCAAATTCTTCGAAAATTGGTTGGAACCAATAAAAAAAGTCTACAGATTTCAATGCAATACATCACATTGCCATTTGAATTTTCTGTTTTAACGGTGACTACTAAAAGTCAAACATATCACGCTCACAAGATACCATTATTTTTATAGACATAGCATTTTCATACTGTGATAATTCTTATCACATTCACACAGAATGAAATGCTAAACAGGGTTAATAACTAAAAAAAAATAAAAAATTACAGGAATAAAACATATATTTAATAATTCTATTTCTACTATAATTTTCAAGGGAATTAATTCTGATACTCGCCCTAGGTCGATCAACAAATGACAAAACCTCTGTAAGAAAAATCTCCGTACCTGATGCTGGAATTCAGACGATGATCTTGATGAGAATGAGAAATGTCGAAGGGAGTTGAATTAAACGATCGATATCGGAGATTATATGTATATATAAAGGGTCACATGGTGAGTCATTTGAAGAAGCATAGAAAAATAAGCTCCGGCATCTAATGAGTATATGCCCTTAAAATGTCAACTCTTTCTAGTATAATTTAATCTATACACTACTAAATAGTTTATCTCGTGTACATACATACTCAAATGTCAGTATATACAATTCAACAGTTGTTTATTTAATAATGCAAACTAATGTCTGATATCTTTGAAACGGTCCAATTTCGGCTGGTTATAATGGACAGCATGTGTTTAACTAAAACTTATCTTTACACAGATTATAAGCTCGTCCCAGAGTTGGGGCAATTTGATCACTCGATCGATTTGAATAAAGGTAAAATTAGTCAGTTGAATTTGTGATTATAAAATTTTAAACTACAATGCTATTTTTAAGAAACAGATGGAGTATTATATAGTTTAGAAGCTGGTGAAATATTGAAACTTCAAGTATTTGGAAAATAAACAAATAATGACCACTTCAAGTACTACATAATTTACACGAAGAACAGTTGCATAATCAATCATGGCTTATTATCTATATCTCTATATATCTATATTTATCTATCTATATCTATATCTATATCTATCTATCTATCTATCTATCTATCTATCTATCTATATCTATATCTATATCTATATCTATATCTATATCTATTCTATCTATATCTATATCTATACTATTCTAAAAGAGCCAATGAATCTGTAAAAATATATAATGCCTAAAATATTCTTACTTTATCATCTTTGTAATGGCACAGTAATCGGATACCACGACACGGCCCAACCTCATGGAGATGAAGACCACACGCCCGGAATGATTTATTTTAATACCAATGTTGTAACAACCGTGTTCCTTAGTCATACTAATGTATAACCGAGACAGATAAATAGCAGCAGATATTTAAACGGGCCGGCCGTCTTTAGGGTGGTGGTTACCAAGTGATTGGTTGAGGTTACAATATGCTTTATCTGAATGTATATTACTAGATCTACTTCACATGAACCTAAATATTTTTTCTAGAAGAGACTGATATCTATTTAAATTATATTATTTCCTTGTGCTCAAGAATACTTAGGAGTACTTTCATAGTGATAGTTGCAAGGGACGATGGTGTGAAAATGAGATTTAAAGTTGGTATGATTAAAAGAGTTTAATTGATTTTCCTACTTTTTTCATAATTAAAAAAAAAAAAAATACTTGAAACAAAGAAGATACAATGAGATTAAAAATTATATATATTGAATATTTTATTTATTGATATTATCTTAAGATTTTTAAATGATTTGATAGATTTTTCAATAAAATTTGAGAGTTTATTTGACCATAAGTATCATATCAAATAAGATACCCGTTTCAGTAACATTTATTCAATCTTTTAAGTTTATTAATACCTCTATATAAAAAAATTGGCATCGGTATTGTTTGTTCTCATAACGACCACAAAGTATAGAAACATTATTTTTTAAAATAAATAAATTGTGTAATAGTATGAGAGATTAACTGTTGAATGATTGTTTTACAACCTAAAATTATAATCTACTCAATTTCTTTGCTTAAAATAATATTAGAATAATTTTATGAAATCGTATAATACTAAAGCTCAATCCATTTGTTTTCAAGTTGAGTGGGATATCATTTGAGCAACATGATTTAATTTTGATCATATGATTATTTACAAATTAATTAAGAATATCCCGAGAATCATGATATGCCTATATACACTGAAAGTTAATTAATTTTTACCAAAAAATTCCCTCAATATATTTATCATTATCTATCTATCTATTAATTTGTACTCTTATAAGAAAACAGTGTTTTTAATTTATATATTTGAGTATAATATTAATGAAGAAATTGTAATTATATATATTATAACAAGGATATAGAATTAATTGATATATAGTAAGACATATGAACCAAAAATCTCTATACTTAAGTTTATTTATTTTTTAGAAATCTAAAAGTCAATATTATTAAGTTTTTAACACTTACTTATAAATAACTATAAAGTAAGAAAATATTAAATATGAGAAATAATATTAAAAGTATAATTAAGTTGTAACACTTATTTATAAATACGAACAACAACTTATAAATTATAATTTTCATAATTTATCATCATTCTCATTTGTAATACGTTTTTAACACATCAATACAATCACAATAAGTTAAAAAATATTTGAGAAAAAAAAACATAGCTTTTCTAAATTCAACGTAAGAAAATTATTGAAATTACATATTTTTTAAATTTTTATGAATTATTTTTTATTTTGTAGTATAGTTGACTCGACAAAGTAATTGACGAGTTTATAAATTATAAATATTTGAGTATAATATTAATGAAAAAAATTGTAATCATATATAAAATAATATAAAGATATACAATTGATTGATTCATAATAAGACATATAACCAAAAAAGTTTCATATTTAATTTTATATATTTTTAACAAATCTAAAAGATTTTTACTCTCTCTCTCTCTCACACACACATACATATATATGCGTATATATGTAATAAAAACATATGAAACAAATATAAAGTGAAAAAAAATATTAAATATGATAAATAATGTTAAAAGTATTAAATCGTAACACTTACTAATAAATATGAAAAATGTAATACATAAAAATGATATAATTAATAAAAGTAAATATACACTTTTAAAATTTTTACTTATCGATGTAAACGAGTTGAATTGTTAAAACATTGTTAATTTTTAGTGCTTATTAATTATAAGAATAAGTTTTAGGTGATAATTTGTATTTTTATCCCTGTATGTTAGAACTTTAAAAAAAAACTTGATTATTCTAGTTTTTAACCTTTAATTTGCTATTAGTTTTTTAATATAATATATAAATATAACATTATATATAATAATAATTGTTTTCATTATTTAATATTTAATATGTAAAAAATATAATTCAATTGAGAAATTAATGGGTAATCTTGAGATAAAATAATGAGTGATTTCCAAAAAAATATGGACTAAAAAATTCATGTATTTAATATATTATTAATAGAAAAATTATAAATACATTTAATTATTAACAAAAATGCTGCATAAAAATTTTAATCTTTAGAAGGAAAATAAAAAATTGCTATGAAAAATCCGACGACAGGCATTCTACTGAAAATTTCAATATTTCATTGTATAGCTTTCAATGAAAAATTTCATTGGTTATTCCAATAAAGATCAAATTAAGTTACATTGGAATTTAATGGTTTTAATGATTTCAATTACCATTATTTATTGTTGTGTGAATTTCCGTTGAATTTTTTTTGTCGGTCCATACTTCAACCGTTGGAAAAACTGTCATTGGAATTGTAAAAAAATCAATATTAGTTCCATTGAAAAACTAATTGCAGTGGAGATCCAAAATCTTATTTGGGGCATATATTTAGTTAATAGAAAAGATATACCTTCAAACTAACATAATCCCGTCAATTTATATATTATACTTTTCATAATTTGTCATATTTCTCATTTATAATAAATTGTTAAATTTTAACACAACAATGCAGTCACAATAAGTTAAAAAATATTTAAGATAAGAAGAATATTATTTTTTTCAATTCAACATAAGAAAATCATTGAAAATAATATATTTTTTAAAACTTTTATGAACAATAAATTTATATTGTAGTATAGTTGACTAGACAATATAATTGAGGAAATTATAAATTATCAATATATAGCTAGAATTTCACATACATTAGTTAAAATATACATAAAAAAATATATTTTGAAGTTAGAGAAAACAATATGTTTTACAAAAAGAGAATAAAAGTTATCATCAAGATATAAAAAATAGAATGATATGCTAAAATTATAATTTTAAGATTTTATCATATTTTTTTTAGTTGTGATACCGCGTTTATGTTATAAATTTAATAAAATTATGAGCTGAATTAAATTATAATTGATTGAGTTGTAAAGTAATTCATTATATATATATATTTTATTTTTTTTTTTCAAAATAGGGGACATGATTAAAATTATGAAAATGTTCCCACAATTTTTGTTAGATCATTGTCCTATATATTTTGGGATGGAGGCATGTGTCGGGCCTATTAAATAAACATAGGATCCATCATTGATTCAAACAAAATATTTTTGTCAGAGACTTTTCATTGGAAAGTCCAAGCGGGAGTAATAACATTGAAATATTTGTTAGATTGTCGTTGAAAATTTTTGTTGAATTTTTCTTTGAAATTTCATTAGTTTTCTTGTAGTAAAAGTAATATTCCAAATCAATAAAAAAAAATGAATTATATATAAT